CCATCTGCCGCGAGCCGCCGAATGAGCTGGTGAGATGTGGTGCGTGCGGACACGCGCCGCCGCGGTTGTACGCCTGCGTCACGTGCGCCGAGGTATTCTGCCGCGTGCACGCGCCGTCACATCCGGCGGGAAACGCTGCGGACCCCTCGCTGCACTGCATCGCGGTGGACATCGACCGGGCCGAGCTGTTCTGCTGCGGGTGTAGGGACCAGGTGTACAATAGCGACTTCGACGCCGCCGTGGCACTAGCGCAGACGGAGGCCACCGTGATCGGATCAATACAAGACCCTCCGCCGCATCCGGAGAGCACGCGCAAGAGGAGGCGCGTGGAGTACAAACCGTGGACGCCTGATGTGAAAGAGCAAGTCTTGATCGTTGGGAACTCGAGTCCGTTGCCGAGTCAGCTCGGCAATGACTCAACAACCCCAGAAGTACAATGGGGTTTGAGGGGCCTTAACAATCTTGGAAACACGTGTTTTATGAATTCAGTGCTTCAAGCATTGCTTCATACACCACCATTGAGGAATTACTTTCTGAGTGACAAGCATAACAGATATTTTTGCCAGCGAAAGAATAGCAGTGTTATAACAAGGAGTAGTAGTGATAATGGGAATAAGAACTCAACAATGCTGTGTTTGGCTTGTGATTTGGATGCAATGTTTTCTGCTGTTTTCTCTGGCGATCGGACCCCTATTAGTCCTGCAAAGTTCCTTTACAGGTCTGCATTTGATCATGTTTTCTTGGTTTGTTGAGATAATGTTTGGCTTTGTTATAATGTGCACGTTTTTTTTTTTTGTGTGTGTGTGTGTGTGTGTTGTGAAGTTCATATAGCTGATCCCGATTTGCTTGGGATTGAGGTATAGTTGTATATAATTCTTTTTTATAAGGATAACAATACATTGGTAAAAGATTCCTTAATTTAGCTTGGGTTGTGCACTTCTTTGAAAATGATGTAGGGACAAGATTAGTTTTTTATTATTGGGATTGTATGTACCACGCTTTTCCCTTCATAGAGGTGAAATTAGACAGTGGTGTGCTGGGGCGGATTTAGGGGGGCGAAAGGGGGTTCGCCCGAACCCCCTTCGCCGAAAAATTACACTGTATATATAAGGCAAAATCTGTTTTTTACCTCTATATATTAAGTTTTGAACCCCCTTGACACAACCATAAGTGTAGCTTAGTGGTCAAGGGGGTTCAAAATCTTTGAAAGGTCATAGGTTCAATTCCCACTAGCTACGATTTTTTTTTTCTTGAACCCCCTTCGCGGAGATCCTGGCTCCGCCACTGGTGGTGTGTAACTTGGTTGTGATATACATACATTTGTAATTTGTTTTATTAGATGTGGATTTCGACTTTTTGAGTATCTAGTTGCAGTCTGTGCTGTGTCTCATTCAGATGGATGTAAACCTTTCTTTGGAACAGCTGGTGGAAGCATGCATCAAATCTTGCAAGTTATGAACAGCAGGATGCTCATGAGTTTTTCATTTCCGTGCTTGACGGGATTCATGAAAGGATGCAGAACGATAAGGGAAAGGCGTTGAGTCCAGGTAAATTTGTTTGTTGCATTAGAGTACCTATTAGTTGCCCATCGTTTCTCCGCCCATCACCTTGCCTATATTAGTTTCTTATACTTCCTTTTTCCCTTTTCTTCCGAATTAGACCAATCATTGAGATTTCTTTTTTTTGTTGTACTGGGAAAATTATTGACAACATTGTTTATATATATTTTAATAAAAAAAAAAGGAAGCCCGGTGCACTAAGCTCCCGCTATGCGCGGGGTCCGGGGAAGGGCTGGACCACAGGCGTCTATCGGACGCAGCCTTACCATGCATTTCTGCAGAGGTTGTTTCCACGGCTCGAACCCGTGACCTCCAGGTCACATGGCAGCAACTTTAAAGTAACATAAATGTAACATAGCCAAGGGAGGCTAGTATTGTAAAAACCTCAAACAAGTGGATTACTGAAACTTGTACAGGTACTTGCAAAGGTCAAGTCCTTCAGTAGGTGAATTTTTTGAATTTCTTTTGTTGGTGGGGAGGGGGTGGAAGAAGCAATTTCTGTCAGAAGCAGAATAGTGTGTTCAAGCATCTTTGTGATGTCTAGTAACGTCTGACTAAAAGGCACTCAGGGCCTGCTTGATGGGCTTATCTTTGTTCTAGCATCTCATCTCTCATGGCAATCCCAACTTCCATTGTCACTGAGAAAAAATAGTAATATTTGAATGCAGGTTATGGTTTAGGTCTTTTCTTTGCCATAGGCGATTTACAAGTTGATATTCGCTGTCAGGCTTAGAGATGTTTCTCAAAAGGAAAAAGATTTCCTCCTACTCTCTCCCCAGTAAGTCTCAGTTTGGTTAGTCTTATTGATTTCAGCATAGGAGTTTTCTTCTGGTACAATAGTTCTCGTATTAACTCGCAATTTTACCATGTTTTAGGGTATTACTCTCGAGTGAGCTGATCGCAACCTTCAAGAAAGCTTGAAATCTTTACTAGGTTGACAGCCTTTTGCTTCCTCCTTTCTATAAGCCCTTATGTGCCTTATTATTCTTGTGAGTCTAGCTCCTCGGTACCTCGCATTTCTTTAGCAGAGCAATCATTAGAGGGGTAACTCCTTAGCAACAATTCATTTCTACCATTGTAAATATGCTGATTTGGTTCTCACTTAAGTGACACGTACTTTGATTGTGAGAGTTCACACCTATTCTCATTCCTCTTAATTAGAGGATTGGTGCAGGGCTATCTGCCCTGAGTTTGCAAAATTTAGTTAACATCTGGGTATTGCATTTAAATAATGAATACACATTATCTATGATTCTGAATGGTTTTGTGTAAATGGAATAGATAGAGCTTTTGAGGCAATAAATGTGTCTTGCGGATACATTTCTTACTGAGTTTTTTACTTTTATTTCAATAGTACTCCGTTGCTTTTAGCTACTCATTCTGTTGGTTGCCATTCCTGATAGGACGATTTTTGTTTTGTCTAGTAATGCAATAGCTGATAGAACTTTATGGCATAACTGGACTTTTACTTGTTATGAAGTGTGTCGAGGAGCACGTTAAGCTGTGCATATTAAGTATGTTACTCTGTGTAACTTATTAGGAGTACACATTGTGTTTTTTCAGCTGTGATCTCATTCTATCAAATCTTTTTCTTTGGCACAGGTAGTGGAGACTGTTGCATTGCTCATAGAGTATTTTCTGGAATCTTGCGGTCTGATGTCATGTGTACAGCTTGTGGCTTCACATCTACTACATATGATCCATGTATAGACATCTCCTTGGACTTGGAACTGAGCCAGGGGAGTTCCTCAAAGATGACATCAAAGAAGTCTCATAATACTCACAAGAAGGAAGCAGAATCTGGAAAGTTTAGCCAAAACGGTCGAATTTCTTCGTTGATGGGATGTTTAGATCATTTCACAAGACCTGAGAAATTGGGTTCTGATCAGAAGTTCTTCTGCCAACATTGTCAAGTGAGACAGGAATCTCTTAAACAGATGTCCATAAGAAAATTGCCTTTGGTTTCTTGCTTCCATATCAAAAGGTTTGAGCATTCTGTGATTAAGAAAATGTCAAGGAAGGTTGATCACTACCTACAGTTTCCTTTTTCCTTGGACATGTCGCCTTACCTTTCTTCATCTATCTTGAGGAGTCGATTTGGAAATAGAATCTTCTCCTTTGATGGGGACGAGCAAGATGCGTCCTGTGAATCGTCCTCAGAGTTTGAGCTGTTTGCTGTCATCACCCATACCGGTAAACTTGATGCTGGTCATTACGTAACATATCTTAGGTTAAGTAATCAATGGTACAAATGTGATGATGCTTGGATCACTCAAGTGAGCGAAAACATTGTGAGAGCTGCGCAAGGATACATGATGTTCTATGTGCAGAAAATGCTGTATTACAAGGCTAGTGAAAAGCAAGTTAGCTAGAAGGAAACAAGCAATAGCTACTTTTTGCGAAGCATTGATGCAGCACTCCAGGTTCAAATAACCCATGAGCTCTAGGTACGTAGCTATATGTGCGAAAAGAGGGTCATATGTGAAGCCTTGAATATGTAAGAAGCATCTCCTCTCAAGATAACCGGGACGTTGTAGCTTGTTACAACCTGTCCTTTGTTGGGAGTAGAAGACCAAGCTGATATTTTTGTTTTTTGTTCCAGAATGCTGCTGCTTTGAGTGTTATTCTCAATTGGAGTGTAATCTTTAGCCTGAATTTTAAAGGCCCACACTCCTGCATTCAGGAAATTTTGGTAACATAATATATTATCCCTTGCAAAAAGAGATAATTAGTGAAACCTTTCTATTTTTTATGGCTAACCATAGAAAAATAATAATAGTAACTTCGAGTCAAAGAAACATGTTAAAGTTTTTCATATCTTTTTCTTGGATTTTCAAGTTTTCAATATGTTTGGACACAGTTCGTGTTCTTCTCCAGGCACTTGAGCAACACTATCTCTGTGCTATATTTGGCTGGTGAATAGTGATCTTCATTGGGCTGCTGGTGAGTAGTTTCAGAAAAGAACTTTGCCTTCCAATCAACCAGCAATGGATTACGAATAGATCTGCAATAAAGCAAATTATGTTGATGACCGACGTATAAACACTTTTTGGCTTATATATACATTTGGTAATCACTAAAAGTGCTTATAACCAAGTGTTTAGAAGCTCAAAACTGTTAAATCATAAGTTGGTCACCCTTAGTTTATCGCTTTCAGCTTATAAGCATTTTTACTTTGATCAAGTTTCTTATTATCTTGTCCTTAATTGTTTTTGGTATTCCTGAAATTAAAAGTTCTAACTCTTTTTTTATTTTCGTAATTCGTCACGTTCAATAAGATATTTTTAAATTTATATATTTCTTTTAGATAGTTTTAAGGGCATTCAGTCATTTTAACATAAAAAGTGCTTATCAGTATTTCTTTACAAACACACAATATATCTTCTTTAAGTACTCATTTTGTCTCAAAAAAGTTCTTTTTCTTTTTCTAAATTTCCATTACAATGGGGTTTAGGGAGTGGAAGAGGAAGGGAGAAGAAGGGGAGGATAACGAGAATTGAACTCACATCTATTGTATGAGAGATTTTTTTTGATTTTTCACTTGGTGTCTGGTACTTGCATTAGAGTTCGACTATATTCGGATTCGCGACGCGTAGGTCTCATTAGTGAGAGACTCACTAATACAACTAGGCTATAAGGCTCGTCAATTTGGTTATCACTTTTTTGGTTTTTTCTTTTTTATGTTGTTGCGATCCAACATTTTTAGACTATGATGTCAACTATCTAAAAGAAGTCGTCCAGTCTCCTTACTCGATATATCTGAGATAGCTTTGTAAACTAAACTTATAATAGATGAGACTTTTATCTTTATGTTGTGAGCTTGCTTCATGGTGCAAAGGGAAGGGTGAAAAATTCTGAGTACTAGTACATCTATTTTTAAACCAATTGAACATCTTCTTGAAATAACATAATCATCAGAATCGACTTTGGAATCATGCAATGTGTATAGGCATCGACAAAAGAATACGGTTGCAATATATATCTTTTAATATTTTATTTCAGATTGTATTAATTTATGTACTTTTAAACGGCAAATTTATCCTTGTGAGTGTTTATCTCAACAACGGGTTAATTTGGCTCTTGTAAAGCACTATGTGATTGATAATTTGGGATAAAAAAGTATAAACAATATAAATCAAGAATAGTTTCAAATTTATTGTGTAGATGATATTTGTCTGTTTGACAATCTAGTAGTGGATAGACTACATTACATTTGGTCCGAATATTTTGAATAAATTGTCTAAAATGAGATGCTAAAAGCATAGTATTTTCCTATATTTGGCCAACAAAATGTGAACATAGTTATATATTTGACTTCCAATGTGAAAGATTTGTTTAGGAAAGATAAGAGTGTCAATGATGAAGCTATTCTTTTAGTGTTTGATTATTGAAAAATATGAATTCCCAACTCCACATTACTTATTCCGACTAATAAGATTAACCGATAAAGTGAATTTGATAAGTCGAATGTCATTTTATGGAACAATATTATAAATTTTAAGACTCAAAATTTCATCAATCTAAAAAGATATTTTTCAATCACCAACCAAACACCGAATTTTTTTTTTTCATGAAATATAATTTTGATTTAAAATAACTTCTATCATACCAAATACGTACTCAAAGTTTCTTTTATCTTACAACAATTGGGGGTGTCAAAATATATCCAAATGCATTGATAACTACATTTGGTCCATGATTAATATATTTGGTTCGTAATGTAATATAAACAAGATTATAATGGTTTGAATTTGTATCATAAAAAGACACCAAATATGCTTTGATAACTATATATGACATATTACATTAATTTGATGATCCATAAATCATACCATTAATACAGGAAAAAGATGATCGATCCAAATAAAAGGAAGTATGTGAACAAGATGAACGTTAAAAAGTGAAATAATAATTGCCAGTTGATTCTTTAATATTTATATTCTAATATGGCCATTAATTTGTCTTCTTTTTAAGTGTGGGCTAAATTTTGATGACATTTGCCATGAAATAATATCCACTAGGCCAAATACATATGGAGCCCATTCAACTTGGTCCCATTTTTTATTTTGGTACTCTATCTCAACCTTATTCTATTTTGGCCCTCCAACTCTATTTCTTAGGTTTCATTTTAACACAAAATCTGAAACCAGTGTAAAAAAATATAGCGCGTGTGTATACACAAATCTGAGGTGTAATAAATATCCAATTAAATGTTGCTCATTTTTGTCAAACAGGTCAATACTAAAATACCCAACCAGGATTTCTTGGTGTCCATGATACTTTCACTTCCAACTTGAAATATACAAGAACAAATCCATTCCATTATGAAAAAATAATTTTCTTTGAGACATTGATTCACTTCAAACTTCAAGTTTATATGAAATAACAACCGAAAAAAATAGGTGGCAACATTTAATTGAATATTTATTACACCTCGAATTTGTGTATACACACGCGCTATTTTTTTTTGCACTAATTTCAGCTTTTGTGTTAAAATAAAACATAAGAAATAGAGTTGGAGGGCCAAAATGGAATAAGGTTGAGATAGAGTGCCAAAATAAAAAATGGAGCCAAGTTGAATGGGCTCTATATGTATTTGGCCTATCCACTATAATAAAATTTGTGGATCATGGCATTTGCCATGACATAATATCCACTATTAGGCCAAGGATTTCTTATTATAAATAGAGGAGCTTTTCCTCATTTGAAAACACAACAATTTAAGAGCTTTTCATTCTTATCCTTCTTTCTCCTCCTTTATTTTATTATAGAGTATTTTGTAAGAGAGTGAGTGTTGGAAAATACTTGTATGAACTCTTTCTTTGGCGTGATCTTGTGAGGTTATTCTCTTAGGGTATTTGGGACTAATTAGAGTATTTACTCTAATTTTATACTCTCTTTTGTACTCTTATTGGTATAGTGAAATTGCTTCTCTCCGCTTGTGGACATAGGTCACACTGACCGAACCACATTAAATTTATGTCTTCTTTATCTTCTTTAATTGTTGTTATTATCAACTTGTATTATCTTTGTTATTGTCATTATAATATTGTTTGGCTAAATTGCGCACTACCCGATTTACCGATCCTAACAAATTGATATCAGAGCCAGATCTAACTGGGTTAGTTTAAGTAGCCAAAATGACTCTAACAAAGTCTTATGTTAAGAAATTTGACCGAAGTGCAAACTTCGGAATGTGGCAATTAAAGATGGAAGTTATCCTAATTCAGGATGGCTTAGATTTGGCACTGCAAGGAAAGGAGAAGATGTCAAATAAAATGACGGACGAGGAGTTTGCCGTCATAGACAAAAAGGCAAAAGCAGATATTATTTTAAATCTTTCAAATGAGGTTTTGCGTGAAGTTGCAGCAGAAAGCTTAGCCAAAGGCATATGGAAAAAGCTTAAAACCCTATATATGAAAAGAACAGTAGGAAACAGGCTTTATCTAAAGCAAAAACTCTATACTTTTCGTATGGCTGAAGGTACCTCTATACTTACACATCTTGATACTTTTGATTCTCTTCTTATGAATTTAAGTAACATAGATGCTGAAATCAAAGATAAGGATCAAGCTATGTTATTGCTTGTTTCCTTACCCCAGTCGTTTAAACATATAAGAGATATTATGCTTTATGGAAAGGATAATATCTCTTATAAAGATATCAAATCTATTTTAAAATAAAAAGAACCAATAGATAGAGATATTACTGGAGAAACTAGTAGGAACTAAGGGGAAGGCTTATTCATAAGAGGTAGATCCAATAAGAAAGATTCAAGTAATGAGAAACCTAAATCAAGGTCAAAATCTAAATACATAAATGTCATGTGCAAATATTGTTATAAGAAAGGTCACATTATTTCTGAATGCTTTAAATTAAAAAATAAAGAAAAACATACAGAAAAGAAAAATGAGCACAAAAATACTGACACTGCCGAAGCAAGTGTAGCTGCTGATGAGACTGAGGAAACTATTTTTTTAGCAACTAATAATAGTTTCAAATCTAACAATGAGTGAATTTTAGATTCGGGTTGTTCTTATCATATGTGTCACAATCGAGATTTATTTACCACATATGAATCTATTGGAGGTGGAGTTGTCTTGATGGGCAACAATATTGCCTGCAAAGTTATTGGAAAAGGTATAGTCTGAATCAAAATACACGATGGTATGGTGAGAACTCTCACCGATGTTAGACATGTTCCTGACTTGAAGAAAAATCTCATCTCTTTGGGCACTCTAGAATCTCGTGGGTGCAAGTACACAGCTGAATGTGGAGTTCTAAAAATTTCTCATGGTGCTCTTGTAATCATGAAAGCACGCAGATCTGGTACGTTATATACTCTTTGGGGATCTATTGTTACAGGTGCTGCTGCAGTTTCAATATCAAATAAATCAGATTCTGGCATCACCAAATTGTGGCATATGCGATTGGGGCATATGAGTAAAAAGGGTATTTTCATCCTCAGCAAAAGAGGTCTCTTATATGGCCAAAGTACCGGAAATATGGAGTTCTGTGAACATTGTGTGTTCGGAAAGCCGAAAAGAGTCAGATTCAAATCTCCAGCGATTCATAGAACAAAAGGTACTTTGGATTACATTCATTCAGATCTTTGGGGTCCTTCACGTACCCCATCAAAAAGTGGTGCTAGGTATATGTTAACTTTCATTGATGATTATTCAAGAAAAGTTTGGGTTTATGTCCTGAAAAATAAAAGTGATATTTTCTTAAATTTCAAATAATGAAAAGTTTTGATTGAGAAGCAAACATGAAAACAGGTTAAGCGGCTTAGAACATATAATGGCTTGAAATTTT